ATTCATGCACACACGGATAAAAAAGTTAAGCTGTTTTTGCCTAAGTATTTATATGGAGACGCTTTAATAATCTAATCATCATCATAATCATTTCAGCCATTATTCGTCAACTGCTGGACATAAGCCTCCCTCATAGGCTGCCATAAAGAACGGTCCTGAGCCACCTGCATCCACTGACTCCCTGCAATGCATTTCATCTACTGGGGTTTTATAGTTTAATAATCTAATGCTATTTATTGTCCTAACTCAGCACATGACATACTTTATGTACCGATTCACGTATATGAAACCGCGGGATACAGCTTAGTATATACGTTACGTACATTTGTTTTTAGTAGTTGAAAAAATATCGGACAAATTTGTATACTATAATCTTTTTAGCGATTTGAAATAAGGTGTTAATTATTCGCTGTATATTCATAAATATATCTAATTAATACATGTTTTTAACGTTAGCGATTCTATATAGAAATTTATTATTTTCTTAATTTTTATATGTAAAGATATATGTATAAAGAAATGTAATTCTCTGAAAATAAAATTTAATAAATGTGCTATGAAATATCTATATTTTTTTACGTGATTCAAGAGAAAATCATGCTAAACGCACCTATTTTAGAAGTGGTAGATAACCCTCCCTCGGCTCTCCCAGTTTCCGGTTCAAATCCTGTGACGCAACAAATATCAATGTATATAACTATATTATATTATTTATCATTAAGTTATCAATGCTTTATGATATTTTTAAGATGGATTTTTTTTTACTTTTCTTTTTTAATATGTGATTTATGAAGTTGTTTCTAAGATTTTGTTGATGTGAGAGATAAAGGAAATTTAAAGCTCTTCTCTGTACATATGCATTTGAATTTGCTTATAGCAATATAATTCTTAACAGAGGAATATTTTTTTTAAATGAAATTAGATTATTGGAACCATCTATCCTATAATTTAAAATTTTGTTTTTTTTTTTTTAATTTGTTTTCAATTGTGGCAATGACAAGTTATTATTACATTTATTTTCATTTCAAAATCAAACTACTAATGTAATTTTTATAAAATTTCTTCACGATTAACCTGTAAGTATACCCTTTCAAATAAAAAAGAAACAAATTCCGAATCGGTTTATAAATATAATCGAATTGACAATCTTTTTTTTGAAGTCGGTTCAAAATCGGTCGGTTCAAGTCGGTAACCAAGAGCGTGAATTTAATGGAGGATGGAACAATACGCATGAATTCCGGTTAGTTGATCCGTCTTACCGAATTTAAGATAAATTTACTACAACTGTATCTAGTAGGGACCGAATGATTGCCAATCTCACGTGATACATCTCCACCTCCGACTTTCATGTGAAGAACATAAGATGGAAGTTATTTATACCATATTTATCAGAATGCTATTTGTGTTATAAGTGCGTTTGATGATATATTCATTATGTCAGGGAATTCTTAATTGTATCAACCAATGTAATTTATGGTGATGCACTGGCCAATAACCAACTGGACAAAAGCCTCCTTCAACTGCTTCTATCTCGCACAATTGTTATAAAAACCGAACCAGTCTTTGCGGAACCGGTCGAGATCCTCTCTCTAACGCATACGAGGTCATCCTTACTTCGCGATTTATTTTTTTTTATCTTTCAGAAAATCTTTTTTATTTTTCAGAAATCTAGATTTCTGAAAAAACATTTTGGTCCACTTGTCGCTTTGCGTGCGACTCACGTGTTCCGCCAAACCCCACTTAATTAATTAGTTAATTGAATAACTGATATATTTTTAAAACTTTAAATATAATTTATATATAATTATAATACGTAGCGACTGGGGGGAAAGGGATTGTTAGTAATGGAGACTGAGAATCCCATTGCTAGTAATATACCCAACCAGGTCGATCTCCTCGCGGTTCTCCCTGGAAACTATCATGGTTAATTCCTGATGAATTCATCATGATGGGCTAACTGGCCTGTTTTCATTCTCATCAATCACCCTTCACTGGTGCTCCGCCAGCGTATCCCGTTAGCGCAGGCGGGGTTACCATACCATTTTCACCCATAAAAAAATACGTAGCGACTCTACGCTGATATTGGCAGGAAATCCAACACTTTTAAATAATGTTGTTACATAAGGTACTAGTCAATTTTCAAGCGAAACTCTTTATCAGACACAATCACATAAAAATTCAACTCATGCAACTTATCCCTGAATATTCCGGGTAAAATACTATTTTTAGATAGTTATTTGTACCCGAGTATGCCAGTTTACGCTTGGTCGATTGTAACCACAGCAACAAAAACTCTTTCTTGAATTCAATCATTGCGATTTTACTAGAAATAAAGATAGACGGTATAAGTTTTTATTGGATGTTATTTCTCAGGAGTCGCCTATTAATCACAAGTACCTATATTATTTTCAAATCTAAGACTTATTTTCTTTTATAAATAGACTAATTCTCCTTAGACTGTCTGGAAGAGATTGTATGTCTAATATAGTAAATGCAATAGATGGGTGGATGTTTATTCCTCTTTTACGCAAAAACTACTGATTGGATTTAAATGAATTTGGTACATGGGAAAATTATATTCTAATTTAACACATAGGATACTTTATATACTTAGGCAGAGCTGCGAAATACAGCTAATTGGTTATAAAATTGTATTTCGTGTTTTCGATTGCTTTTAATCTTTACTCATAAATAATTTTATTTGTATTGATATAATTGTACTAAACTATACAAATATTATAAAGAGGAAAGATCTATTATTTGATTTTCATGGACAAACTAAAATATAATTCCCAAATCCCTGTTAAAAGGAATATATTATAACGTGTAATTCATCTGCATTCATACCCTCATTCTACATAGTATTGATTATCGAATGTTATTTAATCCAGAAATAATTGGAGCAAGGATTGCATATTTTATACAAGTAATTACTTTAAGAAGTCAAAATGGCGAATTACTACAAACAATTTTTAATGCAATAGAAAAGACATTTCAGGCTCCTGTACTAAGATGGTAAGGAAGGATTCCTTCAGTACAACTTCGACTGAATATCCCGTAATAAAGCTATACGAGTATTTATTTATTCTTTAGTGCAAGATATTAATACAAGACGGATTAATTACTAAAAACATTATGTCCCAATCAAACTCAGGAAATGTTTGAATGCTCGAATGCAGTACTAGTATTCAATGATATATATACATACTACAGTTTACATAGATCCACCAAGAAATATATATAAATGACAAATGTACTTACGCATATATATAATATACTATATTATACACGAAAATAAGAATAGTAGATAATAATTACTGCTCGAATAAAGTAAAAAAGTGAAAATGAAGCTGTTTTTTCAATGACGATTTATATGGAAAGAACTATATGTATTTCACTACTAATGGTCTCAAATTGTAATTTGGTAAAGTTATAAATACGGATAGTAAAATGAATGACAAATTTAAACTATTATAATAAAATTATTTGAAGTGTGAAACTCTATTCGAACAATTATTTGCGTTGGATACATTGACGTATTTAAAATTATTTTACATGGAGCTCCTTTATAAAACGCACATTATGTACTGATGACTTTCTTACTTTTGTTCATGGCTTACCTTTGTGTTTGTTTACAGCTACAAATTAGAACTGCGATTTGATACAACAAAAGTTTGTCGTAGAATTGGATGTATTGCGTAGAGTTAATACGTATATAATACATTAATTTCATAATATATAGTTTTTTTTATTACTACAAGTAGTACTAAGGTAGCAAACAATCATATAGCACGTTTAATAGTAAATGGTTAAGGAAGCCTATTGATGCCCGTAACACTAGGGGTGTCACGTGCGCGTTGCCGTCTCTGAACCTTATTGTTCCCGAAACCTTAATATACCCATTATGAAAAACTTCGTACTGTAGTCTCAAGGAAAAATCTCAGCAGGAAGTTCATTCCACAGCCTAGCGTTCGCGCGGGAAAAAACCGCATTGTACGTGACCATTTACGTTCCAGCCTCCTCACAGGATGAATTCCCTGTCGATGGCGAGCGGTGCGATGATAAAAGATGGCAGTAGGCTTCATTTCAAACAATTTCTCAGAACACAATCCGTTATATAAGCGAATTAAATTTAATAAATTACAAATAATTATTATATTAAAAATTTCGTTCGTATCCTAGGATGGACTCTAGATAATTCTGTAGTGGTCACGGTTAAAAAATAAAGTACACCAGAAGAAGCAAACTGCTGTATACGGTGCCAACAGTAAGATATAGAAATAGACTTTGTGCCATATATAAAAATAAAGAGACTTCAAATTACTGCAAAACCGGTTATTTTGATTTTAAAATTAAACTATTGAACTGAATTTAATAAATTATCTATGGGACTAATCTAAAAGTGTACTTTATCAGATGAAAAATATTTTTTCAAATCGGTGTATAAATAATAGAATTCTGAGGTTACAAACAATTGTTTATTTAAAACTAAACTATTGATTTTAATTTTAATACATTTTCTATGGGACCAATCTAAAAGTGTACTTTATCAGATATAAAATATTTTTTCAAACCGGTGTATAAATAATAGAATTCTGAGGTAACAAACATATAAAAAATACAATCAAATTAAGAACCTCCTTTTTTTGAAGTCAGTTAAAAAGTAATTACTTTTTTCCACATAAACATAATATTATTTATTGTTATTATGTGTTTTTATAATTTGTCTGTGTTTATTTTATTTATATTCTATTTACCTTGCCTTACGTTCTTTTTTTCTTGTACCTTTTGTGCACTAGATTACCCGCTAATTTTTTTTCTCTCGGATTCCAACTGCACTGGGTTGGCTGGTAGAGTTCTCTTACAGAAATAAGCTCACCATCGCTAACAAGTTGTTAAACTACTTGCTGTATCTTTTGTTTCAAGTGCAATAAACAATATATATAACATGGAAAATACTAAACTAAAAAATATACATATAAATTATCCAAGTTCCTTACCATCATCGACTTCTTCTTCTTCTTCAACAGTCCGCGCTCCATCTGGTAGATTTACTTTCAAACCTTTCACTTTAAAGAAATCTTTTAATAACTTCATAAAATACTTGGCCAGTTCAGACCATTCGGAGATAAAACTTTTAGGTTCCATTACAACTGAATCTTTTTTCTCATTCACACTTAATTTTTCTATTGTCTCCGAATCTAAAGGTACAAAACTAATCATGTGATTAGCTTTAATCGTTTCATTTGATGCCATATTATCACCGAACAGCGTTTTCTGGGCTATTTTCAAAGCTTTATATTTGACGCAATTTAGAGCTTCACCTTTTATGAAACAGCCATCTTTTACGTATCGTAAGTAACCCTTCTTCTGTGCATCTGAGTTGTTGAGTAATCATCAATATGATGATGATTTGTATTGATGTGTATATTCTTGATGAAAACATTCTGAGAGTTCTGGAACAAAGGAGAAATAATGTATTAAGTACTTTACTAATTGTAACGTTCAGTTAAACATCTCTAATTTATTTCTGTCGACTAATACATATATTCTATTTAAAATATATCAAGTGTATCCATTGTAAATAATTTAGTTATCAAGAATTTGGGTCTGTTATAACTGAAAAACATAATTGACAAACTAAATTTTTTTCATCATCGTATTTAAAAATTTGATTTCCCTATTATTAAATTTATATTATAGTTTTAATTCATTGTTTTAGAAAAATGTTAATTTAAATTTATACATACATATAACATACTCTATATTGAGCAATATATCATTATCTTCCTACCCTTATTCCAATTATTATTTGGAGTCGACGTAATATGTTTTTTTATCCATATCACAAAAAGATTTGGCTTATAGTTTTACGACCGGCCGTCGCCTGACGTCAACCCTCTATTGAGCAGTATATAGAAACAATAATTACCAAAGTATAAATTGTTATTGGCTAAGAAAAAATACTAAAAAAAATATTAAAAATATCTTTATATATATTAAGTACCAAATATAATAGTCGCTTAATATAATGGCCAGTTAATAAAATTATCAAACGTATGTCACATATAATTCCAAACAATATCTATATATATATATATTTTATACAACTTAGAATGGCAAACAAGCTGACGGCCCACCTGATGGAAAATGGTAACCGTCGCCTATAGACATGAGCAGTACCAAGGACATGACAGAGTATACTATTTCGCCCATGATACCCCCCATGCGTTGCCATTCCTGAGGACTCAGGTGTCATTCCTCTGTACCCTGTAAATTCTCGCCATATTCCACTCTTGAAACCAAAACACAGCCATGCAAACACAACTGCTTCACGGTTGAAACATGAATGAGTATCTATATATTACGTATTTCAATTATATTATGTATATTTAAAATATTTAAGACAAAACATTGATTTTAATTAAACAAATATTTATTAAAATAATATTCCACTTAAATACTTCATGCATATGAGACTAAACAGGTTTCATATTTAAGTTTCAAACTAATTTCATTGAAATACAACTTCACCAGTAATATTCTTCATAACAGCACCTGAACGTATTTGATTGAAGTTACTCATATAATAAATATTATCAAATAACTTGAATTCCAACTAATTTATTAACTTAAGAGATTAAATAAAAAATATAAAAAAATCTAAATATTAAAACTTCAATAGAATTTAATAGAAATTCCTTAAATTTCACAATACATTTAATACTGTTAATTTGAGCAAGGAAAAACTCGACAAAAACATTCAATTGTAGGCGTTTAATTTCAGAAGTTTTAAAAGTACTAATTTTGTAAAAAATGCCACTACATTTTTAATAATTATTATTAATTTACAAAGACCCTTATTAGTCTCTCACATATTTAAATGCTGAATGTTTCTTTTAAGGTAACTACTTAAAATAAATGGATATAATCGAATTATCTATTCTATAATTTCATAGATTATTACTAAATAAACAACCAAACGTGCCAACATTACTTGTAATATAATTATTCCCGCAGCCCAGTCATTGTCAATCATTTCGATTATACATTTTCATTTTATAAACACTAGAAAATAGATCGTTTTCACCCTGATAGCTCAATTATAGTTACCGTGGTACGTGAACGAATGCAATGCAATTCCGTCTCTCCTATTAGACGATGATATTAAATATTCTAAATATTTATGCTTCTAGCATTTATTGCAAGGAATGCTACGTTAGTTTGGGTGTGTAGAAGGAATGTGAGATGAAAGGTTGACGAAACAGATATACAATGCGAAAGTGTGGATGTATGTATCGAGAGAGGGATATATTTTAAATGAAGGAAATGCCTTTACGCATACCATACCTAGTATGTAAAGTATCATCATCATGATTATATCAGCCATTAACTGTCTGTTATTAAACATTCCTATGAGGGTTTTGCCAGTAGTTGCTGCGCTTGGCAAGCGAGTTGGCAACCGCAGTTAGGCTTTGGTGATGTTTGAAGAAGGACGCTGCTTCCCATCTCTCGACCATTAAGTTCCCTTAGTCGCCTCTTACTATTCTACGAGGCGACTTTACGATACTATGCCGATACCACACCGCAAAGATATTAATTAAAATTTTAACAAATAAATAATTGGCTTGACTCGAATACAGTCTGTTCATACTAGAATATTTCGATTTGTTATTAATTTTATATAGAAAGTGTTTTTGTGGTCATTTCAATAGAACTCAGTTATGTTACATTAATATCTATTTAAACATACAATAGGTACTAATATATGGGGCTTATCTTCGGGATTAAATTAAGCCATAAAATCCGTATTATTGTCGTCATTTTGCAATTAGAGAGGGTTGAAGTGATAGTTGACCTTATCAATAAACCTTTCTAAGTTACATCATACGCCAACGCAGCCATACATCTTAGCTTCTGCAGCAGGTCCCTCGCCTGAGGATAATGGCTTCAATTCTATCTGAGGAGAGCCAGACTAGTCTATAATGATCTGACAAACTTTGTGTTATCATACTTTTTACCCCGATCAATATACGCGCGGATAAAATCACAAGCACAGCTAGTGTATTGTACAGGTGTATAAATGGAAATGAATCCTAGAATGTGTTGCTCAATGTAAAATTCTCAAACAACTGGATCGATACTTTTTTTTTTTAACATTAATAAGTATTTAGCCTTGGAAACGATGAATTCCTTCATTTGAAAAAAAAAATCAGAAAAACATATACTAGTTTTTCATTATAAGTTGTATAAAAAAAACCTTTTTTTTCTTTTTTCCATACAAACTCTGAATACACAGTAAAAAATAAGATGTTAAGATAACTTTAATTCCTTATGGGATAGTCGGAGGCATTATCAAATCCCACTGTTGGGGTTATCATGATATTGGAGTTTTATGTATTTTCCGGAGCATATCGAAATCTTTTCACGAATTGAGCCCTATTCAAAATACAGAGTTTCATTTAGAGATAACGAAATTCAACTTATGTAAAAATAAGTGGTCAATAGAAATGTGTTATCATTTAAAATTGAACACTTATTGTAGCGGCATTAAGTTGAATTTCGTTTGTTCTATTATGTGGACTGAATAGAGTATGCGGGCGAAAGGACGTTATGGAAACATGGTGTCTTGGAGAAGTAATTTAATTGTAAAATTTGTACATATGAAACAAAAAAGTGAATGAGACAGAAAATAGGTCAACTTACTTAGTGTCAAAAAAATATTGTTTTTATAATAAAAATAAAAAAGGCATAAAAATTTACGAACAAAAAGGTGCATCGTGCACAGAGTACGATAAGGTCTGTTTGTGTTTATAGCTATTTAACTGGATAGTTAGTTAGAAAGGGTCTCACCGGATTTCCTTGAAATTAAAAAATGCTTAAAATACGGATCAAAATTTTAGGTAAAAAAAATATAAGAACAAATTAAACTAGTACTCTAATAAGAAATAAAAGCCTAATAATAAAGAGAGGACAGATCTCTATTTTACGAATACTCATACAAAAGCCAACTGGAAAAAAGTGCATACTTTGGATGGTAGCCAAAAACATGATTGATCTAAATTCATGCTGCAGCAATGATTCGAATTTGAACGTTGCCAGAGCGTAACGTTTTGTCAACGTGATAAATTTTCAGAATGATAAATTGACCATGCACAATTTGTTTTAGATTTTGATGGAGTACTATAGAATATATTTTGTTTTATTAATGGTGGCAAAAGAGGTAAAATTGCAAATAGTTTAAAAGGATTTTCGATAGTAAAAATGTTTATAAACTATGTGATCAAATGGATTGTAACAAATTGTTATACACTAAGACAATAAGAGAGAAGAAAATAAAATCATCCAAGAAGATTAAACTATCCTCTTTATAACTGCTATATAAGCTGAAAAATATATAGAAATCTTAAATATTAGTTATTTTGGAGTAATTTTGAGTTTAAATAAATCAAGTACCATCTTAAGAATATGTGATTTGATTATTTAAATCTATTTCAAGAAAGATAAAGAAATAATACAAATAAAAAGTAATCCATTTAAAAAAAATATAAAGAAAAAATACATTTAAAAATGTAGGAAAAAAAGAAATAATATTTAGAGAGTCTTGCTTATTCGGTTATCATTATAAAATATATTATTTCAGGGTACTTTTTTATGGTAAAGATAAATGGCATGCCTTCATTATTAGCGTTTATTAATAGAATACTAGGGATTACAGAGATACTCTGTGTTTTAAAAAGAGACAAGTAAATTCAGTAATTATAATTACATTTATTTTAAACTTTATTGCAAAGTTCATACAATTGGAATTCAATTGAAATTGCAAATATTTGTCTTAAAAATCGAATGTAATGTAATGGAATGATGTACCATTTTTATTTATATTTGAATTGATAATTTTTATATTTTTAATATTTATTTTAATCTATTTAATATAATAGTTATTTAATAATATAATTCTTTTCTATCAATATCAATAATCAATATTTATATAACAATATCAAGAAATAATTTATTATAGTAGATACTACCTATATCCTACGGCTTTACCCTCGTGAATAAGCACATAAAATATTCATATCATCTTAATTCCTTGTACAGAGATTTCAGTGGATTTTCTATATTTAATTTCACCATGAAAGTATAATTATTATTTAGAGGCGCGAACGGATTCTGATATCGTTTGTAAACAAACTCTTTAGATATTAGATTATTAATATTCAGGATCTAATGAAATATTTATTATAGCTGGCGATGTTAAATGAGAAATTGTGATTTATGAAATGAATTATTCCAAATAGCAATTCTTAGATTATGATCCTCCTTAAAATTAAAATTATGAGGAAAAAGACATATTTCGTTAAGGATTTTAAGGAAGTATGAAATGGTTTTGCCAGGAATTAACATCATTATAGATTCCATAGTAAGAGTTTATACTAGAATACCATTGTTCACAGTAATCAAAACCTATACAGGTTTTAAAATAGAATTACAGCTATTTTGTGACTTAGAATCAACAACAAATTTAATAGTACTAATAGACGAATATCTAAATTTATTATTGCATATAAAATGTTTGGATGTTTGTTACCTAATCACACTTAAACGCTGAATGGATTTAAATAAAAAAAGAATCATAAAACATGGTTAACTTCATTTATCGTAAACCGTTTTAATATCTTTTTAAACCTACTTCAAAAAACAGGACGTTCTCAATTCGGTTGTATTATTATTTTTGTTACCTCATAATATTAAGAATATGATTTGGAAAGATCCTTTTTTTTAATCTAATAGGATATATACTTTAAGATTTGTTCCTATAACATTTTCTTAAAGTAGTTCAGTTTTCAGTTTAAATCAGTTTACTGGTTATTTGGTGGGTAATAACTGATTTTGCCAAGATAGAAGTCGGTGTGCTCTACTAAACAAAATCTTGAATTGTTTCCAAGTTTAATGTTCGTGATGTAACTTGATGTTATAGTACAGTAATTAGGACTTCGCATAAGCACCAAAAACTTGGGTTTTATTCTCCTTCGAATAAATTTTGTTAAAGAAACTTTTGTAATTTTTTTAAGAATCGAATCTGAAGAAAAAACATAATTATGTGGAACTTAGATTCAATTACATTGTATAAAATAAAAATATAAGTATATATTTTTATTTTATTTGTGTTTTTATGCAACTTAGAATGGCAAATAACACCATGGAAAGTGATAACCATCGCTTATAGACATGAACAGTACTATGAACATAACAAAGTATACTGTTTCGCCCATGATACCCTTCATGCGTAACCATTCCAGAGGATTAAGGTATTATGCTTCTGTAGTATGTAATTTCATTGCTATATTCCATCCTTCAAACTGAAACATGTCCATATAAACATAACTACGGCAGAAACATGAATGGGACAGAAGTAGCCAAGCAGATGACTTTTGTATAAAGTCTCCATTTAGTAAACTTTGTTCTACATAACTAAATAATGTGATTATTTCAAATATTGTCACGTAACAATAATAGTAAACTCTTTATTGCTCACAATAGAGATGTATATAAGGAGTATTTATACAGAATGTGCGTATACAAAAGACAGCCTCATTGCTAAAAGCAATGTCTTACAGACAACCTGGCATAAATAGTATATAGCATATATTTTATTATTTATATTTTATGTTTCTAACTATACCTGTAAATTAATATTTTACTTAATATAAAACTTACTTTTAAAATCACAACACCGTAAAACAAATATTCAGTTCACTTCACTTAGGAAAATTCAAGCTGCGCGCGCGTCGATCAAGTTATCAATGCGGTGAGTGCGCTCCTGATTCGCTATTTAAATGATCTAGAATCATTCGGTCAAGCAGCAATTCAATTCGCTTCGAACATAGCTTTTGCCCTGGGTTTGTTTCTAATTATTGAAATCAATTTAGAAACAATCAACAAAGTATGGCCAACATTGGTTACTAAGGCCTCATTACTAACACTCTTTAATAATAACCATGTATAGATGATAATGGAATGATAATAGTATGGCCTGTGTTGTGGGTATATGCTGGTGGGGCACCAGCGAGGAATGATAAGTGACAATGAAAGCAGGTTAGTTAGCCTACCGTGACGAATTTAGCAGAAGTTAACCATGATAATGCCTTAGAGTTCAGGCGTAGAATGAGTCACCTCTTTCATTCCCGTGGGTGTCATAAGAGTCAATTAACGGAGGGTGAGGGATGAGCAGTGGCGTCGCTCTTAAAACATGTCTAAAAGCCTAACTGCGGTTGCCAACCCACCTGCCAAGCGTGGCAACTACTGGCAAAACTCCCTTTATGGGGAAGACTTATGTTCAGCAGTGGACAGTTAATGGCTAAAATAATTTTTAATTAGGGATATCTACAAAATAATGATGTATTAAAATTATACCTATACAATAAAATAACTAGAAGAAATATATAAGAAAAACTTATATGACGGGTCTTAATAAAAGCAAAATTATTTATAAATTTTGTCTTTCTGTCTGCATGTATTTTTGTTTTGGCGTCATGTTGCAAAAACAGTTGCAAAAATAGTTGCATGAAATTGGATGCGGTTTTCATGTTTTTAATACTGAATGTCTAACTTAAAAACTGTAACTGTACTGCCATCTACAAATAGTCTATTTCATTAATTTGTCTACTTTTGAAATCCACGTGTACAACGTAGCGGCCAATAAGCTAGTAAAAATCAGAAAGCTACTACACAGATAAACAGTACAAGAAATGAAATATAAACTTTAAAATTTCTATTACTTTTAAACCCATTTTTCGCTTCACTGATAAATATTCTTTTGATTTCTATTTCGTTCTGTATACATTTAATTGAAAATTCCCTTTAAGTGAATATAGAAAATAAATATAGTTAAAATTTCTCTAATGTTTTTAGTGTAAAAATATTAGAGGAATTAAGTAACAAAATAAATACAGGAAATAATTAAGATGAAGTAATACAAAAGCTTGGCCGTGTGGTCCCGGCATAGACTAGGCTGCCCTTCCTTTTCCAGTGGGTATCGTAAAAGCCGACTAAGGGAGGGCGAGGTATAAGCAGTAACGTCCCTCTTAAAACATGTCTAAAGCCTGACTGCGGTTGCCAATTCGCCTGCAAGCGTGAGAACTATAGACAAAATCCTGCAAGGGGAAGGTTTGTGTTCAGCAATGGACAGTTAAAGACTGATATGATGATGAATACGAAAATTTATTATTTGGTTCCGGCATAAAACAGGCCACCTATTTATTTCCCGTGAGTATCGTAAGAGGTTATTAAGGGAACTTAATGATCAGAGGATAGACAGCAGCATTTCTTTTAAAACATCACAAAGGCTTAACTGCGGTCGTCAACTTGCCTGCCAAGCGTGGCAACTACTGATAAAACCTCCCTTATGGCGGCCTACGTTCAGCAAGGACAGTTAACGGCGGATACCATCATTTTTATTTATTTATTCATTCATTAGTACAAATATGTGTACATGGCGGACTTAATGCTAAAAGCATTCTCTTCCAGTCAACCATAGGGAAGTGTCAGAATACTCGTATGCGGTACTAGTAATTATTGATACACATACATACTAAAATTACATATATAAACGAATAAATATATATAATATAAATAACAAATATACTTACACATATATGAAATATACTATATTATACACGAAATTGAGAATAATATAAAGCACTTACTGCTCGGATAAAGTAAAAAAGTGAACGTGAACGTTTTTTTTTTGAAAGGCAGTTTAGTCAGTAGTCTCTTAATGGCATCAGGAAGCGCGTTCCAGAGTCATGAAGAATGTAGGAGAAAAGAGTTTGAAGCGAAACCAGTATGGTGAGAGGGGAAAGATAGTTGGAGAGTATTACTGGAACGAAGGTTACGATCGTGAGTTACAAAAAGGTACTGGAATTTACTGCTTAATTTACTCATCGTATATTAAAACATACGGCTATTGGAGTATATAATGCTTTTTGTAATAGAAAAAGTAGAATTACCTTTTTTTGTGCTTTGTATGAAAATACTAGAAAACATTACCCTTCTTGTTTCGTCAGTCGGGTAACAAGATACTCGTGTATATCGAAACACATACCTACTTCTTTCTTTTCAAATTTATTGTTAAAAGGTTTGATATTTTCAATAGATTTTATATCTAAAACTTTATAATAGTTACCATATCTGTTTAATTTCTATATTCCTAACCTAGGTATGTAATATTAGAAGTAGTTTTCCCTTAGGTGTTCAATTACACTTGCATTTTCTAAAAGCCATCTAGTCAAGTTTAATATCTCATAGGTCATTGACTTTGGTTTTATATTTTTTATTTCAAAACGGATTTGAGTTTTATCTTATCTCACTTGATAGCAAGTAATGATAAGACCCAAAGATTTATCCTGAAAAAGTTTGTAAGTATGAATTAGTGGATGGATATATAGATGGATAGATGCCTGTTACTCTTTCATGCAAAAACTATTAAACGGATTTAAATTAATTATTTTTAAAGGCAAATTGTAATGTACTTAGTATATAGACCCTATGTGACCACTTTATGTATTTATTTACGCGAGTGATGCCGCAGAGTATAGCAAGTTAAAATTTATAACTATTCGGAAGTGAAATCAGTTAATAAGAAATAATTTCATTATGAATGTAAGTAAAAAGTTTAATTATGAACTTACAATTTAAAGCTGCACTGGGAAATAAAAACCTCGCAATAAATATTACTTAGAAGGATCTATTTCAAGAGATCTATTTCGCCTTTGTTGCTTATCTTTGTTACTTTACTTGTTGCAATATCTACCCACGAATGCTATTAATAGATGAAAATCCGGTTAGAGTATTTATAAACCGACAATAAACATATTTAGGGTTTCTATTTACATTTAGAACAGTTATGATGAAATAGAACTAAATTTAGGTACCTACTTACATTTATTATTTTAGTAATGAAAATTCGCCTGGGAAATTATATTTGTTTATATATAATTAGTATTGTGAAATGTATAATGTTAAAAAAATTGCATGCCATGAGAGACAAAATATAGTCGTATCTTAAAATGTATGCAATTAACATCTATGTAATTTATCTGCCTATGTTTTTGTAAAATAAATTATTTGATTGATTTATCAATTTATTGAAATATAAAGTTTATTATAACCAAATGTGATACGGCAACTTTATTTACAGGATGGTCGAAAGACATTTTTAAATTTGTAAATTTTGGAAGTAGGTATTCACTTCTAGATGGCATATTATTCTAAAACGTATACTAAAATTTAAATTAGATCTTTAGTAACATAACCACATTCAATTTGATGGCGTAGTATTTGTGTAATACATAAACAAACATACAAACAAATAAGATATGAAATAAGATTAGCAAGAATATAAATTCGTTGGCTAGATAATTTCACTATTCCAGATACAAAATACTGGTTAATTATTTGATGTCAACGAGGTATTTTGTGGCTACATAATGTAATATATATTGGAATATATATGGCTATATAAATGGGATATTGTTGAGGGAAGAATTTCCTTCCTTCGGTCATCATCGTCTAATTATTTTATATTATCATAGTTTATATTAATGGACTCTGTCCATTTATTTAATGGGAATTGTGTAGTTTAGTCACACTTCTAATGTATTTATATAGATAATTAAGATATTTGGAATAATCAAGTACTTTTATAAAAAAGCATATAACATTTATATCTAGATTAATAAAAATCTGTTTTTTTTTATGGAATGGTAACCCCGTCTGCGCTGTCGGTATACGGTAGCGAGACACTAGTAAGAGATGATAGGTGAAAATGAAAGCAGGCTAGTTAGTACATCGTGAATTCAACAAGATTTAAATCTCGATTGTTTCTAGTGGGAACTAAGGGGAAGTCGATCTGACAAGGTATATTGCTAGCAATGGCAGAGCCATTTGTACCCATTGTAGCTCGCATTACTAACAATCCTTTCCTCCCATAATATGATGTAAGACATACGTAATGTATAATGTAAAACATATAAAATAATCTAAGAACGTGTGTAAGTCTTATAAGACCGCATTACTAATAATCTTTCACTACATCCCACAATAAAACACAGTTGCTGAATGTATGTTATATTAGCGCATTACTTCAGAATGGCTGCATTTGTAAGGTTATTTTTTTATGTTGTGTTTGTAATTATCAAGACATGGTCTGTATGAAAGAAAATTATTTATTTACTTATTTATTATATGCTTTTGTACATTTACTTATAGATATTAGGTTATACCAAAATGTACACAGGCGAATTATCCCTTAAAAGGATTTCTTTTAGTCAACCTCGAGAACCCGAAAGGAGAAAGTATTTATAGGGTTAGCATAAAAAGCAAATAAGGTGCAAAATTAGTACTTTAAATAACTATTAAATAAAATTATTGAAAAATCCTACGGAAAATCGAAAAATTTAATATATTCGTGCGATCCGAGGCTGGCAGCTACGAGTATGTTTATAATATTAATGGGATATAAAAATATATGAGGTGAAAGGATATTAATAATTTCAGTTCCATATATAGATTTGAATGTACAAATAAACAGATAAATTTCAATTTTTATTCATGAAGAATTTTTATAATGACATTTCACTACGTGCAAGTTATAAAATGTACGTGAATTGAATGCGTTCATAGATTAATCGCATAAATATTTTAAAATTAAGAATATTTTGCTCTATAAAAAGAAAAGCTATTTCAATCGTGACTAAATTAATATATGTGCAATAACATGAGAGTTAAACCATAAAAACAAAT